AAAGTATGTACCTTGTTTAAAAACGTACAAAGCTGTCTAAAACTAACAAGTCGTTAAAACCGTCGCCTAGTACACGAGCCTAAATGCTTAAGAAAATCGAGCGGTATTTTGATTAGTTAAGGTGTCTAACGGAACGTAAACTACTTGTTAGTTATCTATTTGCAGTAAGGATCGGGTCTTCGACTCCAAGTCTAGGGTTGTTTTCTAACACCAATGAAGTGATTATTTCACGGTTTTGTACAAGCAATAATCGATTTCTCTTTTTTATTGGAATAAAGCGACAAACTTACCGACAATAACGGTTTGGAACTTAATAAAGTAGGTGAGTGGATAAAGTTCCCGTCGATGTATGTTCAACATTTATGTAATTGCTGTATAATTAATATCAGATATGATTCAAATGATGACCTGTTCCAATGTGCGGGAAGTCGATGGACGCAAGTAGCTCAGCATTGTGCTTCGTGGCAGTCTGTTGGGGAAGCCTATGTTCAGCAATCAAACGATGATGATGATGGAGATTCCAATAAACGCCAAATTTTTTACATTTTAGCCACATTTTAGGTGTGAAATACATTAAAGTCGAAAAAAAATTTTAAAAGGAAAGCAGCGATAAAAGTAAATTTTATAACCAATCACCTATCAGTAAGGTATATATCAGTTAGGTAAAACTTCCATAAAGTGCAATAACATCAGGTAAATTGAATAATTTCACGCCTCAGTAGCCGTTGCCGTGGTATGCACGCCTCTAGAGTTATTTAATCACACCACCCCTTTGACTGAGGGGTGTGAACGCCCTCAGTAATTAATCACAGCTTTAATACATCCATAATGACTTAATAGGCTCGCGTGACAGTGCCGGGTTGAACCACCCTTAAGTGACGTTTCCAACCATGAGGGGCTGGTTTCAAAATAAAGTTTCTCTATCAAAGGGTTGCTATTCAAGGTCAAATGACAAGGGTTAGTTTAGATCTAAATTTGGGGGTAAATGTTTTGTCATTACGCTTACTATTTGGCACATCGAGAGGGTGTTTCGGTTTATCATTAAAACTGTAATTATTATTAATGATACGATACGTGATACTTCTCTCAGTCAAAGGGCAACTTTTTTTTAATAGAGTTTAACCGTCTGAAACTAATTTTAATCGAAATTTGAGAACGCTGACTAGGTTAGGGTGGGAATATTGTCAAAACGTATTTTTCGACGGTTTTTTGAAACCGATACATTTTTTAATATTTCAAGTTTTTTAATATACCTATCGTGTCAATTTATAGATGAACTAAGATGCATGTCGTGGCATTTGGCGAGGGGAACTAGCCAAAGCTAGCTACATAGATTTTTAAACATCAGAATTAGAAAGGAAAACGGTAGTGCCTTTGTATCTTACTACAGTTTCTGGCAGTTTAAATATTATTTATCAGGCGTAATAATTCAATTAGTAATTAAATATACAATCATAAAATCATTTCACGAACGGCAGGCCCGTCCAACTCCCCGTATTTATTTATTTATACTTCATTGCAATTACTTTTAACAAGAATTGAAACAAGGGTGAACTTGATGCCTTTTGGCATTCTCTCCCAGTAAACCCAGTACCGTAATTTACAAATGTTTTGTTTTAGGTCAAAAGTGTAGGTGAATGTGCAGAAAGAGAGTATATCTCTTGCCAATATCCCGACTCGGTCAAGAAGATGTAACATATGCAGAATCGAACGAAGACGCCGATACGAGACGAACTGCCGGTGAGTAGAAAGTCAACAATATTAACATAGAAAAGTGCATTGTTTTCCCACATTAGCGAGGTCGATGCGTGCGGATGGACGTGCTCTCTGTCTAACAGTGCTCCTTAAGAATATCTGTTTCTTTCTTTATTTATTTTTTTTAAAACATTGCCCTTACTTTAGGATAACATTATCCTGTGTTGTAAGGACGTTTTTACAAACATAAATTTCACGCGGACAAACACCCAGATCCGCAACAACTATCTGTGGGTCACACAAACAGTTGTCCCGTGTGGGAATCGAACCCACGACCCCCGACGCCGAAGCCAATACCTTGGAAACTGCGCCACGGAGTCATCATGTTTCTTGTCTCAAAGAGTTGGTAACTGGGCAATAGTTCAGCTGGAAAGCTACCGACCATGCTCACACAGAGCTGGAGATGTTGCAGGCGTGTTATCAACGGCTAAGAGTGTGGGCCTCACTATCCAGAAGATATGCAAAATAATATATGATCGTACTTCATAAAAGTCTTCTATTTGTGCAGCAGATAATGTGCAAACTGTCGCAGCTCTGCAACGTAAGTTATATAGTAATAGTATGGGTTACTGCAGCGGTCCTTTTGGTATCCCTCAAGTTATTTATATCAATTTAAATGATTAGCGAACGATTTATCGATGTTCTGGTTAATCAATGGAAAATTTTGTTAAAACTATTAGTGTAGTCTATACTATTTTTTATTTTATTTTTCCTACCTGAGTTAGCAAATCTTGTCCTTATATTGTGAATAATATGATTGGTGATTTAATGAGGTAGAAAATTATATCACTTTGGCATGTTTTCATTGACGATAAAGTTTTGTTTCTGAACCATACCCAAAAAATAACTTTAAGAACGGAGTACATGTATACCAATTTCGGTAAATTTTTATTTTATTACTTCCTTTTTATTGTCTATGCTTAACTTTTTCGTTTTCTCGCTAAGATGAAAGGACCCAGTAGGAAAATTAATAGTTAACGTCAGTAGAAAACATATAATTATAACTGTGGTAAGGCCACGCTAATAGACAAGTCCGTCTACGCTTCGTCTGCGTTCTTGGCGAGTAAGGTATCTGTTTTAACGCATCTGCAACCCTGCGGGTGTAGCTTGCTCCTTGGCATTTGTTATTTGATTGGCTGCATTTATCCCTTAGCATCAAGTGAACTGACAGCGCATTAGATATCTTCTTACATAAAAAAAAAATACTCATTGCCTATAAACTGATTAAACATTTAATGTGGTGATCATATGTTTCATTACGATAAAAACGAGTTGAGCCAAAAAAAAAAAAAAGAAAACATTTATGCTCTTTACTAGATCCGAGTTCACGGCTTCGAAATAAAACAAAGTTTCATTCAAAAACATTTTATTCTCTCGATATTACAAAATAACTTACGAAAACATTACGACGCGTGGGACCGTATTATTAGATTCAATTTCATTTTGTACAAAATTTAGCTTAAGGTTGGCAATTATAAACACGTTTAAATGTTGTTTTCTTTGGGACAACATCGTGGAAAGTGCCTTACCTAGATTAAAGCAAGTTTTGGGTACAAATCGAGAGGGACACAATGAGATTATATAATTTAAAATGAACAACACATATTAGTAGTTATCTTATTAAAATAATACCTACAACATTTTTTACTTTTGGTTGTAAATACTCTTTTGCTTCATGTCAATTTACATAGATATCATTGTTCTTAAAAACTCCGTAAAAACAATGAAATTAGATTAAACACATATAATGTATGGGATGACAGAAAAATGGCGTTTTAACTCATCGTTTATCTTTTTCACAATTATAATTTTAATCGTTTTTTAGATAGTCTATTTATTGTATTCATGATTAGTAGGAGTTTTATCATATTCTTAAGTAAGGCAACTTCAGCAATTATAATATCTTATTATTTACAATATCTGAACACATCTCTCAGTTACAGTAATTACAGGAAAACAATACAATACATTTGTACTTATCTCATTTTTAATTTACATACATTAAGATCGTTTGTTACAAAGTCGAGACTTAGTGGCGAAGGGGGATATGTCTTAAATAATTTAGGTGTTTTTGAAACAAGATATGATTACACAGCGCAGGCAAATTAGATTGTCAAAATCATTAGTTGAAATTTGTTCCGCAGTTTTTTATCATGCGAATATAACTTACCAGTTGCTGCCCGCGATTACGTCTGTTTAGAATAGGCTGAAGGCGTAACATTCAGACAGAAAAACAGATATACATAAAAATCTGTATATAAATTATAGCCTATGTTTTATTTTGTTGTATAAGCTATATTATTGTAGTTTTATTAAAATCCATACTGAAGAGAGTTTGCGTGAAAGAGTTACAAACATCCATCCATACATTTAAACTTTCGCGTTTATGTTAGCAAGGACTTCATCGAAAAGGATCATGCGTATGGACCGGCGAAAACTAGTAAGTTATGTCAAACTAGAGACCTAATGTTAACTAGTGGGGGCAGGCTTTTCTTTTTAGAATGGCGTGCGGGCATGGAAGGCTTTTGTCGTGTACTTCTTCGACAGAATGGGGTTAATGGTCGATTATAATAGTTTCTTACTTTTTCGGTAACAGTTTTGATTTGAGTGTTTCTAACTAGTTCATAGTGTCGAGAATTACTACAGCATTTACGTAATACGGCACATCTTATGGATACCTACGCTTATGGTGTCTGCAAAATAGGTGTGTATTGCAATTTTAAACGCTGATATCAATGTCCAGCAGGAAGGGAGGGATGCTTAGAGAGCAGGCTGAGGTCTGTCAACGAGTCGTTTACCTGATGATTACGTAGTTTTGAGGATAGCAATATTATATTATCTGCACTTCGATGAATTTTTGTGTCAAATTAGCTCAGTCAAAGCTGATTCAGTACAGAAATTTGTGAGTACTGAATCGAATACATAAATTAACATAAAGTAATGTCGCATTTGGCTTTCCATGGAAATGAAGTTTCAATTTAATGCATAATTATAAGTTGAATTACATATTTTGAGAAAGCGCGACATTTTTATCATTTCGCACGTACATATTCACCACCTTTAATCGATTCGACTTTAAGCAAGAGATACTGAGTATTCTCGATAGTGAGGAAGACTGGTTTTTCTAACTTTATCGTTACAATACTATGGCGTTATGGTCTACGAAAACTATAAAAAATTATCAGTCTTTCGCTCGGAGGTTGACGTCACTAGGGGGGGTTGGGTGCGGCGAGGGGCCGGGATCACGAGATGATACAGTTGTTGTCTCGGCTCACGTTCTTCCGCTGGCGCTCTCGCCTCGCGCACGCCACCGCGTCGTTGGGCACGTACGAGATCCGCACGCCGCCGTACGCTCTCCTCGCGGGCAGCGTGTACGATTCGTTGGACGACGACGACGAGGAGCACGTGCTGCAGTAGCTGCTCGCGTCCTCCTCCCGGGCCTTCTCCCTCCGCACCGGCTCGTCCGGCTCGAAGGCGCGGTTGTCGTCGCCGCAGAACCTCACCGTCCTGCCGCCCCGCGGCCGCCCCGACCGCCTCCCGTCCGCCACCGTCAGCTCGGGCATCGAGGACGAGTGGCCGGGCGCCACGACCGCCTGCGCCTCCACGGGATGCGGCGGCCTCCAGTCGTCGGCCGCGATCGGTTTCATCTCCTCCGAGTCCGGTGTCGGCTGGACCTGGTGCTCGGCCAGCGACTGCTCCAGCCTAAGGTCGGCCAGCGCCCGGTCGAGGCTGAGACAGGCGTGGGGCGGGGGCGGGGGCGGCGGCTGCGGGGGCGGCGTCTCCGGCGCGAGGGAGCCGCTCGGCTCCGAGTCCGCGTCCGGCGGGGGCGAGGGCTCGCTCGGCGGCGGCGAGCGGCGCGGCGAGCGGGGCGAGGGCGGGCGGCGGGGGCGGGGGGCGCGCGGCGGCCTCGCCCCCGGCCCCGAGGAGTCGGACGGCGTGGGCGGCTCGCCGCGCGAGCACGCGATGGAGCAGTAGATGGCGCCGCGGCGCGGCAGGAAGGGGCGGCCGAGGAGGCTGGCGCGGCACGTGTGGCACGCGAAGCAGCGCTCGGTGGCGTGCCAGTGCTGGCCCTCGTGCGACATCTGGCCCTGGTCCACGCCGACGGGCTCGCCGCACGCGTCGCAGTACTCGGCGAAGCAGCCGTCGAAGCAGGGCAGGCAGTAGGGCCGCGCCTCGCGCATTATGTAGCGCTGCCCGCCCAGCTGGCGCGCGCACTCGGCGCACGCGAAGTGCTTCATGTGCCAAGCGCGCCCCTCCGCCTCGGTGCACTCGTCCGCCAGGATGATCTGCGGGGAACGACCGGGTTAATGCTTTGTGAAACCTTTTAGACTTGACTTGGTTATTTGACGTTTTAATATTACTTAGGATGCGCCTGAAATTTATCTGTCTACTGAAATTGTACATATTCCCAATATAGATCGCCAGGGTCTGTTTGTGTATTCCATGCCCTGTTGTTATATTTGTTATTCGAGAACTTCGCAAACTTCTAGTTGATTCTTCTTGGGACTTTTATCTTTTTGGTATCTGATCTGATGTATTTTGTAAACATCAGCTTGAAACGAATCCAAATTTAAAATAAATTGCCTACGATTCTGACATTTACGACGAGAGAACATTTACGGTGCTTGCGGATCTGCACACCTTTATTATAATGGAGTGAAGGGTGCGTTGACGACCTTCGAGGGAATTGCTCTCCATTTACTGTACTGACCAGACGCATGGCAAAAGTATTCATACTTTTGGTTCAAACTGCTGTTCTATGAAGTCGTGACGCTTGTCGATTCACGCAGTAGCAAACCGCTATAGGATTCTACCGCATCTTGTACCCTCATCCAATCCAAACATCCATCCATCTCAAACACAGTGAATGTGGTCTTCTTCCAATTGACGTTCTACGGTACCCCAGTAGGTTTACGCTGCATGCAGTTCAGTCAGGTGTTAAAGACATTCAGGGTTAAGATATCACGGCTGACTCGGCTATGCGCTTGCACAATCCCTCACTCGGTTACGTCTAATTAATTATCGCGATGGAGGCGGATAATTGCGGGCGCCCGGAGCCGTCGACCGGAGCAGCCCGACAATGGCCCGCGAGGGTTCCCACGCGGGGCGCCTTCATTAGTGGACGAGTCGCTCATTATTAATATTTCGAAACGGTACTCCGGCCACGTGAAATGGACTGCGGCCGACCGGTCGCCACGGGGAACAACCGCTCTCTGATCAGCACAGACGGCTTATGCATAACAACTAATGCCCATGTGTCCCAAGTCTGTGGTTGACCAGTTGCCATACACCGAACAAAACATCCGAGCAGTTTCTTAGACTTCACAGAAGACCGGCGTTAAGTAGAAGTGTTATACTTCTGCGTTTGGTCTGGCAAGTGAGGTCATCGGGGCCCAATTTATAAAACAAGTGAAGTTTCAGGTGCTGGCCAGTTTTGAATTAAAAACAGACGTGCCACCTTTTTACACTTTGGGTGATTATAGAATTGCCTTGCGTACTGATTTTGCTAATGTCCATGGGCGGCGATTATCACTAAGCACCCGTCCGTGGAACTTTCCACAATAAAATATAAACATTTCAACACCCCTGTACTAGCCCGTGGGAGAGTCGGCTATCTGTCTCATCAGATGTCTTCAGTATCACCAGTATTGTCTAGACCCGGTCTAGATAAGCGGGTATGTCTGATTGCGCTGTAGTTTCCACGCGGTTTTTTTAAGGAAGTGTTCCATTGGTGCAATCAATTAGCTTGTACGAATCACTGTGATCTCGGATCGTACGGCTGGAGTCCTCTCTCTTATCCTTTCTCTTCCGTTATCCTACCTGAAGGTAAACGGAGATGATCTAGATAGAAGCTTAGCTAAGTGGAAGCCAATATGGTTTAAAAGATTTAGTAATACAGTAATACAGGCAGTCTATTACGATCATTCGATAATATTGCCAGCCAAAAATTCGCTGGCGATGATGGCCGCGAAGCAGAGTGCTTGGATTTTTTCATTTTTCATTTCATCAGTTTATTATCAGAATGTGAAGAGCAATATAGCATATGTAATAAAAAACGCATCAAGTACCCGGCCTTTTGAACCAAAAGCGTGATAACTTCCTTCTTCCTTCAATACACGTTATTTGAACGAAGCAGGACTGCAGAATACACTATTTATTGTTTCAAAACTTTTTAAATTTGATAAAATAATTGTTAAATGAAACTGTCTTACGGATTTTATCGAGATTCATTAAATTCCCGACGTCAAAACGTAAAATCCGTAAAGTGGCTTCCTTTAACAATGTAAAATATTCGCATAAAAGAAATTAATAAAATATTTTTTTATGCGTTTTTGAAGTAATGACTTAGATACAGATATAGAATATATCTTACTAGATAATATTTTTAAATTGATTCGAATCTAACACAACACAATTATTTTGCATTAATGTTTACCAGCTTATCCGCATATCGTTATTAAACTATTATTGTGCTGCCATTAAAAGTGCATTTATAACATTTCAATTCCAAGTTGAAGAGAGCATTAAATACGATAATGGATTCGTGTGCGTTAGACGATGAGCAAATATTTTTTATCTGTTTACCTAGACGTGACCCAGATTCCCGCGCAAAGTTCACTGACATATTGTATAAGATGGCCGCCAAGCTTTGCAGGTCGCCTAGCTCTCTCTAAGTTTTTAATGTACTATTGCAGGGGTCTCTTAAATCAGGCCCGCGAGCCTAGTTGGCCTGCGCACCTCATCAGTAATAAGTAACACTCCGTAATTTATTAAAAAATTAATGAACCATAGTTTACGATAGCTTTTATAAAACATAATCTGATGATAATCTGACGAAGTGTGAAGGTAAGGATTTAGCCAAATTGTATGCCAGGTGATGATTCTAACAATAGCTAGCGATAATTAGATCGTTTTTTTTAACGTGAAGAATATTTGTCAAGCGAGCGGGTGGTTCACCTAACGCTAAATAAACATCTCCCCCTCCTCCTGGACAACTGCAATACCTGAAGGCTTGCCGATACGTTGTTGCTGTATCATCCTTAAACCACCTGCTCGCCTTACAAATTTCCTTCAGATAAATAAGCATAATACTACTTCATGCTGGTCTTCTGTAAGGCCGTGGAACTTTCCACACTAAAATATAAACGTTTAAACACCCCTGTGCCCATGGGAGAGTCGGCTATATGTCTCATCAGATGTCTTCAGTATCACCAGTATTGTCTAGACCCGGTCTAGATAAGCGGGTATGTCTGATTGCGCTGCAGTTTCCACGCGGCTTTGTTGGCCGCCAAATGAAAGCGGCTAATTAAAATTCAATTGTATTACGCACTGTACATACAATGTAATATCAGCGAGTGCTGCAAGTGATTGAGTAATTACATTATTACTCAATAACATTTCGCGATCAGTAAATTAATGTATAAAATATTTCGAGTTGTCTTAAATGTCGTGGAAAATACGTAAAACGTAGAACAACACAAAGTTATGTTACGTAAAAACGCAGAAACCGTTAGTGGAACGGTATAAAAGAGCATTTATTGGTATAATCAGAACGTTTTAGACTACAAACTTTGATTGAGCAATACAACGGTAATGAGAAGAGATAATTGGACAGGTGTAAATCGATATGACCTTGTAAATCACAGTAGTGGTTGTGGAGTACAACTTATAGTAAATTATTGTTTTTTTGTGGCGCTGTAAGAGACAGTGATGTCTGTGAACTGCTTCTTGACTTATATCACGTTGAATACGGATGGTGCACTAGCTTTTCGTCCGTGTGAGGTGTATATAACACGTGAGCTTGAAAGTGTCAACCATGCAAGGAGAATTCACGCCTCCTGTTATCTATGGTCTTATGTTAGGCCATAGTACTTCCCCGGACGAGTCTGCCCATTCGAGCATAAGTGATGCTGCTTGGTCTTACAACAGTCAAAGAGTTTTGTTGTTGCGTTTTCCTTAACTTTAGGTAGTTGAACTGTAAAAACATCTTCGAGATAAGGTTTCTCAATAAAAGATTTAGTGTTTTTTCTATTTATCAAAATCTTCTTTCTCAAGTTAAAGAAAGTATTATTGTATAATACATTGTTATTGACAGCATAGTTACTCCAATTTGTAGTAAACTACGTTTACTGTTTTCCGTTGTTACCATGACCTATGACCGTCACATTTGTTTTTGTTTCGTTCTGCGAACGGATCCGCAATGCACGGCTAGTGCTAAATGGATTGGTCTGTTCGGTGAGTTGCAATGCGGAGCGGACTCGGGCGCTGCATTTCCGTTGCATCGGCCTTGGAAACTAGAGGTCGTTTGGCAAACCATGTTCTTAGTAGAGCGCAGTGTGGCGATTTTACAATCACGATAAATTGGATAACACATCGTTTCCGTTTAGCATAAGGCCTGTGGCACGGAACTACTGGGACTGGCTTTAGACTGCCACGGACGCACAATCAGATTGGTTTATCTGTGAATTTTAGGCGGGCAACATTTTCAAACGTTCACTAGATGTTCATACTCATCGTCATCTCTAAATGTAGAAGTACAAATGCTTTGTAATTTGCAGCTATTGTTTGTCATTCGGTATCGTTTATTAGTATTGATTAGGTATACTATCTGGTGAAGAATAGTTACCAACGAGTCTGAAAACTGTCGAAGGGGGGATCGAAGTCTTCGGCTGTCGAATATAACCGATAATATTTTCACACATACTAATTCATGCGACGACTTATCAGCCGGCCTCTCTTCATTTGAATGGCTTTCATCTTATTTTTAATCTTTACCTTGTTCTTTTAAAGGAAAGAAAAACAAAATGATGCCTGGAAGAAATTACTTTTAGTAATAAGGTCGCCCATTGTACCAACTTCAATCACTTCTACAATAACTCTTTTAATTTTTGTTTGTTTTATTTTTGGTGTGGAATATAGTATATTAATTTATTTATGTATAACTTTCACCTTGTTAAGATGTGCCCATTAATCTTTAAATTAATGAAAACAGTTGAACAATTGAGAAGAGTCAACAAGAAGAGTTTCAGGTAATCAATTATGTAGAGGACTTCAATATATTATTGTCTCCAAGAAGACAACATATTCTTGTAAAAGCCGGGGAGTTTAAAAAGAATATTAGAAAATGTAAACGCCATCGCGTGACGCGCTGACGTAAAGATTTGGCGCTTATCAATGTATCGACATGCGACGATGGGCCCCGCCGAGTCTCGGCCGATGTGAGAATTATTCGCGATCACGATTGCCGGTAATCCGACTGAGTCCCTTCCCAGCTCATCTACATACAATATCAACCACTATGTCTACATAACTACATAGTATAAAACAAACTCGTCTCGCTGTCTGTCTCTCCCTATATATGGCTAAGATCTTTAAAACTACGCAACGGATTTCGATACGGTTTTCTTTAATAGATAGAGTGATTCAAGACGAAGGTTTCTATGTATAATTCATGCATAATATAGTAGAGAAACACTGATAATTTTAGATGTTTCTAATGTGATGTCGAAAACGAACATTCAAAATTGCACCCGTGCGAAGCCGGGACGGGTCGCTAGTACCATAATTATCAAACGCTATGATACGATACTTTGACGGAGTGCGGAATTAAATTATTAGGTCTTTACACGTGAAATTGGCGTTTCGTCAAACTGGCCAGTTTGATCTCAAATATCTGGCGTTTGGGTAGAAATTTCAAATTCAAATTTGTTTCAAATCTAGGCTTGTGTATTTGTGTTTAGAATGTAGCGATACATTTGTTTACAAGCCCTTTGATTTTTCTTCGACATCGGTCTGTTCACAATATTTAGTTATTTACGAATACGAGTTCCACCGTAGCACCAAGGCAGAAACAACTCGAACGGATTAATGATGCGTAAAAAGTTAAAAACTAAAGTATCATGTCGCACTACTGGGCAAAGGCCGCCTCTGTACTGAGGGTATCAGGGCATAGTCCACTACGCAACCCCACTGCGGATTGGCGGACTTCAAATATCTTTGAAATATTTTTGTTATTATTTCGAAAATATGCAGATTTTCTCACGACGTTTTCCTTCACCGCTTAGCACGTGATAAGTCAGCACTTAAATTTAACAATTTCTTTGGTGCTGACACCGCAATTTGAACTCAAGTTACTCGAGTACATTGCATTAAATGCGACGATGAGTTATCACGGCTCTTAATGATGTTTATGGTGCAGCTACTATTAAAGAAAATATGGAACGTATAATGCCTATAACCGACACACATGAATGCGAATATGTAAAGACGCGGTGGTGTTGAAGGAAAGTGCCAATCTCAGGCCATATCTCGAAGGTAGAGCTCGTAAAAACCCAATTTTTTTATTATATAAGATAAATAGGATATATGCTGCCTTTTCGTATAGAAATCGTTGGACTTTAAGAAAATTTATTTGCGGTATTTCCATTAACAATAATAGACACGATAAACGATAACGCATGTTATGATAAAATATAATTGCCATAACCACTTTCACCACAAAAATCGAGATTGTAATAATGACTATTATTTGGGGGTAATTCATGTCATGAGAATGAAATAGCTGTAATCTCTCTATCGACCCCTCTGTAATGAAGTGGGGGGTCGATAGCATCGGTTCCGGCGCGGCCGGATATTGGCCCAGTGTTGCCAATTACGTCGCCCCCCGCGGAACGTTTCGGTAGATTGTCGAGGAAATGGCAACACTTTTCGATTTTCGCCGATGATATTTCTTATCATAAATAATTGAGGTGGTTTGTATGTATAACAGTATAATCAGCATTTGGGATGTCCGTCGTTCACTGTCGATGGTGTGTTGTGTTAAAAGATTCTTCTATATATTTCCTTCAAATTAAATCTGTTTATATTTATTTCACTTTTGTTTCTTATCAAACCTCTAATATCTGAGATGAGAGTTAAGAGTGGCTTAAAAAGCTACGTGTCTTCACGAAAGCGCTGAGTAAACACAGATACGCCACTTTATTCATTGGATTGTAATTTCCGAACAATTTAACATGTTACCCTTATTGCTGCTTGGTGGAAGGAAAGGGGTCATTGCCCCCGCCAGTTGTTTGGCAATAAATCAAGCGGTCTTATCGAATTGGACTGAAAGTGGGACCAGCGAGAGACCCCCCAAGGGAACGGTGAGCCGATCCGCTTCGATAGGGGTCGAACAGACGGACAGACGTTACTTCGAGTGAAAGGCAAGACGGAATTTAGGTACAACCATTCGGAGAAAATGCCGTATGACATGTGCCGTGGAGTTCGTTTATTAGGTAATTTGACAATATTTAATATTTGAAAATAACAAGCAATTAATATTTGATGTTTTTAAATATTGCCGTTTTTTATAAACACTACTTTAAAATTCAGATGTACACTAGTACATCTGAATTTTAACACCAACCAACAAACGCTGATAAATAGTTATTGTCGAGTTTCAAAGGTCAGTAGAGAAAATGTTCAGAAACTGTTATAAGTATCTGTGTAATTTTTTTTAAAAGTCTTTTAAAAAGATAAGATGACGGAAAGAAAATTTGTAAGCATTATTTCGATATATAACGGCGAAATAATGTACGATAGACCGTGTAGTGTAAATAAGTAAGCAGTTGTAAATAAGTATGGACGTGAAAGAGGCGAAAGGTGTGTAAGTATAGGTTTTAAGTCCTTTGGGGGTAAAGCCAGTATTTTTGCATGTGCATTTCGTGTATACACAATAAAATGAAGTCCGTAGTCTAAAAAGTATGCTGTCTATCAATTTACTTTATTACGTATATAAGTATATAAAATAAACTTAAATTTAGTTTTTAAATGCACTTAGATAATTAATGAATCAATCAGATTCGAATCGCTGTTGTCTTTCAATATTACAATTCGCGTGTAATTTGATGATTAATTAAATGCTGCAATAAGATAAAATGGACCAAGTAATTCATTAGCTGGTTATCTAAATAGTTACTAATTTAATTGTATGATTAATAATGTTCATGTCATTATTAACTATCAACATATTATTAACCATCAATGATTACATGAATAATTTAACGGTCTTTGTTATAGCGGCAACAGAAATAGATCATCTGAGAAAATTTCAACTGTCTAACTATCACGGATCATGAGATACAGCCTGTTGACAGACGGACAGACTGACAACAGAGTCTTAGTAGTAGGGTCCCGTTTCCTTTGGGTGCGGAACCCTAAAAATACTTTAAAATAGAACACTGCGTCTTTTCGTTTCAACAATGTCTGTTATTTACCTCGTCGCACGCCGAGCAGCGTGGCTTCAGAGTCTCCGCGTGGTGCCTGCCGCAGTAGAGGCGGCCGTCCTTCCAGAAGTATACCAGGTCCACCAGCAGCTCCTGGCAAGTGGTGCAGACGAAGCAGGCGGGGTGCCAGCGCGCCGCAGGTCCCGCCCTGGCGGCCGACACGGACATGTCCCCTGCTGACATCGTCTCCTCGCACTGTTAGGAAAAGAAGTCCGATATAAAATAGTTCCCTTGTTGCCAAATTTCATTGTAATGGTACAGAGTAAGGTGTATTACTTAAATGATGACATGTGCTCACGAGTATATAAGGTAAGGTATATAGAGAAGATGAAGGAAAACATCGTGAGGAAACCTGCATATTTTCGAAATACTAACAAAAAATTTTTTTTCCGAAGATATGTGAAGTCCACCAATCCGCAGTGGGGCCGCGTGGACTATCCCCTTATACCCTAGTCATAGGCCATTTATGGATTGTTACTTTACTATATAGAGAAGGTTGCATTAATGGATAGTGGTTAATAGATCGAAATAATTAAGGTGGGTACGTAAGGAACTGTGGCCATAGACCATAAAAATCATTAAATCATAATATACACGTAACACAAAGATGGCTTCTGACGAATGAAAGATGATTTCTTTCTATGGTGGGTGAGAAACACTCCTAAATTTTTACACAACCGTACTGAATTAGATAAAAGATTCATGTTCATGGCTATAAAAGACTTAATAAATTACGCCATCTATCAAAAAGCCTCAATGAGATGATCTTACTTATTACCCATCATTATTCAAACTAATGTCTCTCCAACGTTTTGTTTTCGATGTCAGCATTTCAATTTCCGAAAGAATTTGTATCAGGATTCGCAATACGAATCCGTAACAGGTGTGAAGCGATTTTGTCAATCATTTCATTCGATTACAAGGCGAGTATCTCTCCGAAGATCCGATTGGATAAGTGGATAGTGATCCCCACTTTCACAAAAATACTGTAGGATTAGCATATGACTATAATTTACGTATTTTTTTATTAAATAATAGTACGTTTATCTGTTATCTAGCACCCATAGTGATAACAAATCTCTGCTTAGTTTGGGATTAGAAAAAGTCATATAAAAAAGTGTTCTAAAATATTTATTTTTTTATTTATCTTAATGGTAAGAATTAGTAGGCTTTCCAGAAGAAAAAAATAATGTTAAACGCTTTCGCACATTTAATGGATGGAGACTACAGTGGTTGGACGGTACCAAAGGAGACTAATAGAGCGTTTATTATCAGGAGCTAAAGACAAGTCTTACCAGAAAACCCACTAGAAATAAACAGAAATTTAATTTTGACTTTGACCTAAGCCAAACCCAAACCCTAACCGCGACTTATGTTAAGCACATCCTTTTTTCATCGTTGATTTTGTCCGATCAGGTTGCTCATGGTCAAGTGCTGGACAGTTTATAAAGCACCTAACACAGCTGCGAGATCTGTGCTCACAACATTTTCGTTCCCCCGAGTGTTTCACAAACCTCCCCGAACATACCAGATCGCGTTCGCGAGTTTTTCCAACGCTCGCTCGCTCGGAATGCATGAATCAACGCACGCGCCGCTCTAAGCCAAACACCAAGCTTTGTGCGGATTCCAGAGCGGTGACAGAACGCCGCTCCATTGTCACCGGCTGCGTTGTTATGAGAGAGGTCGAGTCTAAATCCTATTGATTCTGCGGCGGGACAATCGCTTGAATGCCTTTTGTCCGGCGTTAGAGAGCATTCGGTTAAGATGATAATAGCGATACCAGTTTTTAACTATCCAGCATATCGCATAGTTTATGAACCTGTGTATATAGAAAAACCAGCAATTGTTTAATAGTGTTTCTTTGTTTTTTTTTGTTTCACAGCCGTTTACGACTTTATCATTCATGAGTCTGTTTGTGTCCACTGCTGAAAATAGACTTCCACGATGCACTATCCTAAGCCTCCGCGTGTATCGACTTCCCGCACATTTGTACAGATCGTCACTCCATCTATAGGGGGGTCACTACGATAGCTAAAACGAGGTTGCCACTGGAGAACCTTTCTTCCCCATTAGATATCTGTTCTTTGAGCTATAAGGCCGGCCCATTGCCACTTCAGCTTACTGAGATATGTCGTTAAGCTTGGTTCTACTGCGGATGTCTTTTTTGCGAACTCTATCCCGTAGCAAATTCGGCATAAGATAATTATACAAGGACAGACTTTAGTTTTAACAATGGAAAGCCTATGGTGCTCTAAATGGAGTCATTTGCGCTACGGAATATAATAACTGGGCAGTAGCTTTCATGTTTTTAGGCATCCGTACCCAAAAGGTAAAATGGGACCTTTAACTAAGACTTCGCTGTCTGTCTGTGTGTCCGTCTGTCTGTCCGTCTATCATCTGGCTGTATCTCATGAACCGTGATAGTTAGACAATTGAAATTTTCACAGGTGATGTATTTCTGTTGCCGCTATAACAACAAATTTCAAAAAACAAAATACAAAAAAAACAATACAACAGACATGATTTCTTTGCCGTTCTTATAGATAATGGTACGGAACCCTTCGTGCGCGAGTCCGACTCGCACTTGGCCGGCTTTTTCTGTCTTATTGGTCGTAACTAGTTCGATAATCGAACATAAACTGCTAGTGCAACTATTGGCGACGCCTGTTCAGTCGTTCACCTCGGCAGCATAAAGTTGAGATTGTGTCTACGATGTGCCACTTGCCGTGGGCTTTCCGCAATCCGTAAGCGTACGGTGACCAGCTATAAGTTTCTTATGTGGATTGAGCTGTTTGGGATTACCTCCTTGAAGTTGGGACGTCCTATTTCAACCATGACGCATATGAATTAACACTGGCACACCAAAATTGGTTATGGTTATGTTTCATATACATTATTATTATAAAACCTAGATTCATATACATTATTTACAGAAAACTTAAGCACTAAAACAAAATTTTTATTGACAATAAAGGCTAGAAATCGATTTGAATACGATTCTTTAGCAAAAAGTTTCACAAGAGAAAAAGAATACAATATTATCATCACAATGGAAAACCAACGTTTTGTTGACACACAAATTGGCGCGTTATCTAGCGTTCCTGTGTATGTTGGTGTGTGTTGGATTTTCTGAGATTCCTTAATTAATATTATCAACATATCCTTGGTAACAGTAACAGTAATACAATATGTTGTGAGGCCTAAAAAGTCTTATTTCTCGCTCACCCATCTCAATTTCAGAATGTCTCGACACGGAACGCTATTGGGTGTACTTAAATGGTTGTAAAATATAATTCTCGCGGAATGTACATATTTCATTCCAGTGAATGTTCTCATTCGACTGTACATTACATATTACTAACTTAAAAATGCATATAAAATATTCCATATGCGAAATATTCATGTACATAGTGCAATCGAACCAACCAAGGGATCGAACTCATGCTGCTAGAGTGTATTGAATTAAAGGCGAGCGTCCGGACATAGTGCTAATTTAATTCTCAAATGTCACTTAAAACAGCAAAAATGTTACGTATGAAAGTGTGCGCGTAAACCTTTTCCTGCGAATTTCGTGTTTCGTCTTATAGCCGAAACGTCGAACGACATTCGGAATCCACGTCGCTTATACTTAGAGATTCATTCCCAAAAGTGTCCCGGTAAGTAAGCGTCGGCTGGCCAGCTGTTTGCCACCAATCCGAAGAGAAGAGCCATCCTTCCGCGAAGTTCGCTACGTGCCTCCCGCGCGTATCCAGCCTACCTCGCGAATTGCGCCTTGCGTGAAAAAAAAAACACACCTTCCCAAAAAATCAGGTATACGTCACAAAACATCGATACGTGTCCATCGCTACAAATGTCATTCTTAACTCTATACAGTTTCTATTTAACTCATTTCGATATTATAATTATTAGGCGTCAGTGGTCGAATAGCTTCAACTAGACCGGTTGAGGTCAACAGAGCAATTTTATTTCTTTTTGCCAGACAATGGTTCGTATCAACGGAAAAATAACGCTGCTAATTATGAAAGCGATGAATACAAATAATCATAAGGAATATGTTTTATTTATAGTTTATAACAAATAAAATAATATATGACAGTTAAGTTTACGATAGGTTTATCGCTATTTTTTAAATAATAATAGTAATAATTACACTTTATTTAAAAAAAAACATGGCAGTACATTGCAACGAGATGTTATGCCATAGATCCTTTAATATGGCATGTTTTTGCTTTAAACGAGCGTGCAAATATGTAGTGTTGTTCCTAGCAATTTTTAAAAGTAATTTGAGATATTTAATTAACATCCATCTTTCAAATTCTCATTGTATATAATAAATTAAAGTTGGAGCGTAGCTAGAGCGGTCTGTAGCAAAAGTTGAGCTTTTGTTTAAAGTAATAAAGAGGTTTTTGTGACGGTTAATTATACTAATGGTCTTAGAAAGCACTTCGTGGACGGGTTTACGTAAAACGCTGCCTACCGCAGTGTTAAATCGTCAGGGTCACTGAAGCACTTCAGTTTGGAAAGAAGGCAAAAATTTTTATTATTTAAATAATTTTTGAAGTGAAAACAACTTTGGGCTTTGTGCACGTTTTGGATGAACAAAAAGCGTGAAACTTGTGTCATCTTCACCGAACGCTTTCCATGAGTTATTTTTAAAAAAGGAATACAAGCAAAAATATGTTTGTAGTAGAATGATCTTTTTAATGATCAATTCAAAGAGCTTATACCATCCTTTTGGAACTCAAATGATATTTGAAAAGCCATTTGACGGCTGATTAGTTGACATCTACGATGATCAGTGTTTCAGAAACGGGGTGTAATACAGTTATTCACGTTCGGATTTCCTATAAAGCATGTTGAATGTTTTATGTTTTATGCTTTCACTTCTGTCGCCAGTCCCAATGAGACGGCCTATGTTTTTTTTACTATAATCATTATATTTATCATTTCAGCCTGTTGTAGTCCACTGCTGAACATAGTTTATAGTTTATTGTTTCTTTATTTGCTAGTAAACCTCTGCCAGAGACTGCCTCGAAGCTGAGCCGCCTGCCTGCATCGAGAATCTTTCTTCCTACGTTATATTTTATTACAACTTATGAAAATATCTCAGGTCATAAAGTTCAACAACAGCTCTTTACCTGCTGGCGTGGAAAACGGTTCGCGCTAATTTCACCGAGCTTTCTAAATCCGAAGACATAATAAGAGTCGAGATCCGGACATAAACGTAAAGCAGCCATTTTTTCACGTCAGATATCCGAAAATAGGTAAATCTATTATCGGACGCCATTAGCACTGGAAGGATATTTTACACGAGATTTATCTTAATTGCGTTAACTGGAACGTGAATCACTTCATCACTACATAGCATAAAACAAACTCGTCCCGCTGTCTGTCCCTATGTACGCTTAGATCTTTAAAACGGATCTTGATGCGGGTTTTTAACTAGATAGAGTGATTCAAGAGTAAGGATATATGTATAATACATTGCACCCGTGCGAAGCCGGGCGGGTCGCTAGTTTAAGTATAAGAAGAACGTCAGAATAGCGTCATATGTGAAAATTAGATCTTTTTGCCATCGACACAAGGTTTTCGGACATCTATTTAAGAAAACAACAACCATTAAGGTCTTCTTGGACGCGTCACGCTCCAAATTACAATCTGTTACTCTTATTTCAATTACTTAAACTCGAATAATGCAGCTTAATATTTTCCACTGAAACGATAAAGATAAGGTATTAAAAGCAAAATAAAAAGCGTCATTTTCAGCGAATCGGGGCAATTTTAGGCAATTTACCGCGAATTAAAGCATTAATTGCCTGTTAAATGATAATAAATGCATTGTTAAAACCATTCAAGGGTCGGAAGTGTTAATGGATGTGATTATATATAAAATGTTTTTAACGTCTTCAGACGGTTTAATTATGCGAAGCAATCCGTTATTTCTGAAATGTTCTGTTTGTTGAGTACGTCGGAAGATTTTATGGACGGCCCGCGCTGTAAATTTTGGTCAAACCCAAATAAATTTAATTTAAACAAAAGCTTGCCATAGTTGCTTGCAGCTTAACATTATTTTATTACGATTCAAATGGCTTTTGTCGATGTGGCAATCAGCCGTTTAGCTTGGTGGTTAATGCGTCAGAAGAAACCTTTTTGTTAATTTTTTCAACAAATTTTGATTATTATTATGCACTCCATTCATTATGCCAAATTGATAGTGCTTATCTCTCTTATCCTTAAAACGAGCAATTCTTTCAATTTTTCCGATTATATATATATATATATATATATATATATATATATATATATGAAACGGCACCAGCGATTTTCATGAAATTTAGTATGTGCGTAGATTCGGGGGCGATCGATAGGTTTCTTTTTAGAAAATTTCCTTTTATCCCTGTTTTCAGGGAATGAAAAATATCATTCGAATATGACAGTAAATTTCGTCGCAAAAAATATAACAGTAAAAAATATAAAAGTTAGGTAATAGGGCGGCCCCAAAACAGACGGCCGCGGTTCGTATCACGATCATTTACACACTTATTTTTTTACTTTTTTTTATACCAGATCATTTTCTTTACTTTTTATTTTTTTTATTTCCAAAATACATGATTTACCAAAAAAACCGGTCTTCCAGGTACTTAGTATTTTAAATTGATATTACTTCAGTATTTATTTGAAAGTACATACTTAAGGACGTGTCCATATAATATATCTCGGTATATTAACACATCCTACATCGACAAACCACGTTAAATTTTTATCGTCTAAATGTTGCGTGAACTTTTGGCATAAATCAAGTTAACATCAAGTCAATAATAAAGTATTCCAACTGGGAAATGGCGGTCGTTTGGAATCGGTTTGGATTTGGGCCAACTCGAGCAACATTTGGGGCTTTACGGGATCGATATTGTATCTGAGTGTAAAGTCCATACGACTTAATATCAGAGAAATATAGAAACTGTATCATGTTCATCGTTTTAATAACCGACTTCAAAAAGAAGGAGGTTATCAATTCGGATGTTTATATATACTTTTATGTATGTTCGGGAATAACTCCGTTATATATAGATGATATATATATTTCATATGAGATTATATATTTTTTTTGTTCAATAGTGTTTCACGTTAAAGCCGAAAAGCGAATAAGATAAACTGTCATGAAGCATATAGTTTTTACCGGAACATTTGCTATTTTAATGAAAAGAGTTTAAGTATTTTCAAAATTTTGTAGTCCATGATAAAACTTAGAATATTTTTGCGAGCAGTAAGTGGTAAGTTTATAAAAATATGCTCAAAGGGAAAAAGATTTCAGCTCGCGGTTCGCGTTGGATTCGAACCAACGACCCGTGATAAATAAGCAAATATATTAGTTACTGACCCACCAAGCAAGTTCGAAACTTGAAAATTTTACATTCTACTTCGCATTTTAACGTTTCTGCTTTATCTGGGCACTCATCATTGGCATGCCAACAGCGACGCTCCTCATGGCCGAGCGATGTCTTGCATTGCTCTTTAACCTTGGAGTGAAATCGTCTTTACATTCCGATGTGTCTCAGATACTATTTTTTTAAACTGTCACCCTGTGAATTCAGAACGGTGGTCGATATACTTGTTCTTGAATTGATTGAAGGTCGGTGCGTTATTGTGCCGCATTGAAATGATTGATTGTGGGACTCGAGACACGTGTGTGAATTATGCCTTTAAAAGGTAAAGTAACAGCCAATATATGTCCCATTGCTGAGTAACGACAGGGCAGGCTTTGCCTATTGTGGTGTCAAAGCATAATGTACTTAAAAGTAATTCTGTTTGTCAATAAACATATTTTTCATTTGCACTTTCAAAGGTCTCCCCTGCACTGACGTTATTATGAAGTAGACTATGCCCTAATACCCCATGCGCGTGTTATTTATTAGACAATTATGATTCGTCAACACCGTTCAACAAATTTCTTCGGATGCATTTGTTTTTTATGATCGGATGTGTTTTTCAGCATACAGACCTAAGGGATTTTGCCTTCAGATATTTGGGAGCAATATCCCTCAGTCGCTAGAACATCACTAACAAAATTAAGGCCACCTTAAAAACTAAGGTGACGAAAACTTAGTGTATAATATTTGCAAGCGAAATCATATCGACCCAGAAATCTCAAACACGTCGGAAATGCAAAGGATATAAATTTTAATTTGGACGAAACACCGAAATTCCGTCCGCATTTAACTCGTATATTTAGCAATCAAGGGATGTTGGAAGCGTTCTAATAAGATTACAAATCAATTAAGCCGAAATAGCCGTTATAAGCTCAGTGAGGAAGAAAAACAAAGCTTTTTAAAACTGGAACACTTATTACGCATCATATTCCAACAGATGTTCAATATTATATCCATTTTTATTTAGGTTTACATTAAGAATCTGGCAGTTCACCTGATGTTAACTGATATCCCACGCCCATGGACATTTGCAACACCCGTACGGATTCAGATGCAGATTGGCACTTTATAATAAAGTAGGCGACGGTTACCTCACTCACTTTTTCACGGTGGCAGGGCCACGAAGCAGCCTCGGCTGTTGTACGAATGGGCAGGCCCGTCCGGGTAAGTACCACGACCTCACAGAAGACCAGCGTAAAGTGGAAGTATGACAAATACTTTCGCGTTTCGTCTGGTGAGTGAGGTAGCCGGATCCCAAGTATCAAAAGGTTGTCAACGCATCTGTAACCCTCGGGTGTGGCAGATGTCCATGGGCGGCGGTATTCACTTACCATCAGGTGAACCGTCTGCTCGTTTGGCAACTTTTCACATAAAAAAAAACTCAGCAGACGTAACGAACGAAATATAACACTAGCACTTCACCGCGGTCTTCGGTGAGGTTGGTGGTACCTCACGGACAGAGCCATTCGCATCGCTGTTGTTCTTTCGTGCAAAAGCGAGGACTTGCGTTGCACTACCATAGCCAATCACAACTCTTATGAAAAAAAAATGATGTGTAAGCTGTACGTGTTGTTGACCTTAATTTTTCCTTGAACTATCTAATGTTTTTTGACGTCATCCGTGTTAGGCAATGCAGACAACATAAGCGCATATGACCTGTCACGCTATGAAAATGTTATAAATGGAAGCGATATAATGAAAGTTGATTTTCCGTTATAATGAAGCATTTTTATAATCCAAGGAAACTGCGATAAAGTCTGCGACAAACATAACCACTTGCGATAGCGTTAAGTTATTTGCTCATTGTTGCACATATTTGTTACTAGCTTCTCTGCCGCGGCTTCGCTCGCTTTGAAGCCCTCTAATAAATATATTTCTTTTACCTTTCAACCCTTTACAAAACTTTTTTCCAATTAAAAATAGCTTATGTCCTTTCTCAAGCTCTAGACTATCTGTGTACCAAATTTCATTTAAATTGGTTCAGTAGTTTTGTCGTGCAAGCGAGACACACAGTCAGAGTTACTTTCGCATTTATAATATTAGTATGGATGACGGACATAATAGGATAGAATAAATTGCATAGATACATCAGCATACGTATCTACCCGTTTTGTCAACACTTTAGGTATAACAAACTTAACAATCTTGAGTGGTTTAAGTATCCTGGAGCTCGGTGTGTTACTGTACGGTAATCAGATTTGTTCCACACCATCTTGCTTTTCCTTTGAATGGTGTTTGCGTGTTAATTCGAAGTGAATTATTATCTATTATCGTTATATACATATGTTTACTGTAATCAGATATCAAATAGTAGTTATACAAAAGTTGAGTTAGGCAATCACGGCGTTCGGTTGATTCCGCACGAAGGATAGTCGCTTTACAATAGTCGAGTTCCCGCATCAGTTCACGCTAAATACATTCGCCATTATTATCTTCTATTGTCTTATATTGTCGCCCCCGCATCGACCTAGCGATCTATTCCGGTCCAATTGTGCTGACGCCGCCGAGGGCAAGAGCGGAACACTCGGCCGACAATGGTCGCGTTTTGCGATTCAACGCACGGCCGCCATGGATATTCAGGGAGGATTACGAGACACTTCCACATTGCCGAACGTCTGCGCGCGCAGACGGCCCGCGGGTGACTCAGACGCGCTGCGGTCCAAGCTATGGGCGGCAGCGGTACCGCACTGATTGATCCTGGCTCTTGACGAAGGACATTCGGTTTACGAGCTACGGTGGCCCAAATGACGAGCGGTCTGCTGTCTTCTTAGTGATTGTGAATATCAGTTATTGTAAGACCTTCCTTCGCATTAGAGTCCGTTTGTGCAGACTCTATGATGGATGGTCTAAGTGATAAACGAAAAGCAGTTCCCGCGCGAGCTGTTTTTGGATTGTTAACAGAAGGACTTTTATAAAAAGTAGCAGTGTCACTGTCATGTCGCCTTCGCATGTCTTTTGTCTTCAACTAGATAAGACCTCGCTCGTTACTGTATATTTGTAGTATAATTTAGAGTTTACTTGTGACAAAAGCGGTTATATACGTGATTGTTTAGATTAATGCAAACAAAACATCCGTAAATTAGTTTCGTGTGGCGGATACATCCATTTGTGTACTCGTAGATGAACTTAAACTTCCGCCTGGAACTGATTTATTCGGCGTGTCATTTTAATTCGCATTTGTAGCCATATCCGTCTGGAGGACACGAGTCTATTGTTAATATTTAACGTGGTCTTGTATTAACTGATGTTTTTGCTTTCAGTCCCGAGACTATTAAAGCTTCATCTGACGCATCTTCTTAACGTGGCTAAATTCATCTATCTGAATATATACGTAAAGCTACATATGGTATTGATGTATACAATGTTTGGTTAGAATTCGAGTGTGAGATAAACTACCTGATTTATCTACGAACTGGTCAACTTACGACTTAAATGAGGATCCATGGATGCTATTCTTGAAAGAAGCGTTTCAGTCAATAACACGTTCTGAATTTAAAGATGGGAAAAGTGAAGTTTAATAAATAAAATACTGGCCAATAACCTACTTATATATAGATACATACTATTATTTTTGATAATGTTATAAGAGAGAAAGTTACTTTACCCCATACGTTATTAAAACAGTCACTGTCGTTGAACGTCTATCAGTTTTGTGTTTATTATGGAGAGGCATTTGAAATTACGACTGTTGACTAGTTAAGTGGAGTTTGCGGCCTATTAAGTATTGTTCCTTGAACGTGTCCGGGGCTTTTTCCGCCAAAACCCCCCACTTCTTGAAGGAACAATGTCATGAGTTCCTCGCGATTTGACTTTCACTGACATTGCGTTCGTACGTGCTAGACTGTCGGACGGACGGTCAGCTGAGCGGCGGAAACAGGACGTGACGTCACGGGATGTTATCGTAGGTTGCTGGTCTATTTTAATTCAGCCGGCGGCGATGGCGGGAGACTCGTAAGTCGAACGGCGCTCAGCTCTGTCCGGTCGTTGGGGCCACCACTTGCGAAGCAAATCGCTTATTAAGTTTCGTTTCTCGCAGTGTCTCACATATCCATTTATTTATATAAATATAGAGTCTTATACGGACTTTAACGGTGTCAGTGTGGTCCGAAGGAAGGCAGCCGGCGTCACTGTTGCACGAATGGGCAGGTCCGTCCGGGTGCGTATCAAGGGGAACGCCGGCTCGCTGGCCTTTTTACATAAAAAATAGGCCTTGATTAGTCTTCAAATTGGGTGTTGGGAAATTTAAGAAGCTGTTAGAAACCTTCTTAGTCTTTTTATTGTCGTTTTAACTGTACGTCAATTAAATCTCTTTGTTTTGAGTTACTCGCGTGTTTGTCTTTAGATCACTGGCGATGCGGTGAGGACTCCTTTAGAGAGACTCACGATGCTCGTTATCGTTGAGACTATTTGGGAATGATATTTGCTATTACAATATTATATGCAGCGAGGCAAAAGCAATACTAAGCAATATTCGTAATATTTTGCCTCATTCCTTCGGACCACACAAATGTCTTGCATTTGGCAAATGATTGTATTTAGACGCCGAACCGTCAGCAAAAAAGCTCATCAAGTATGTCCCAACGGAGTATCCGCGAGCAAATCGGTGCTAATTTGCTGAAAAAAAATCCACGGCATAGTTCAAACAGTCATCAGAGCGGATCCGCCCCACAACGATTTGGTGAACACATTCGGCTCGAAAGAAACCGATTTGGATCGCGCTTGGGAATCTGTTATTATTATTGATGAGATTGGGATTAAGGGAAAACGTGACTTACATAGTGGTGTTAGGATAGAAATCGTAATGGACGGGGACGGCGGCACGGATCGGGACCAATTTGTTCGCGGCGCAGAACAAACATTTCGGTGCGATGATTAGAAGGCGCGGCGCTGATTTGCGGGGGATTGCCCGCCAAATATTGGTGCTAGTCTAATAGCAGGAGATGGACCACCGGCACAGGGGTACAGCATTGGTCACGCGTCTCATCTACCCTATGCGATGAGTCGCTCTCGTGAAATCTATCATCGGTTATTTAACTGTACGTAATAGACTATTAAGTGGAAAAACTCGTTCATAGATTTTAATACGCTGTTGGCCTTTTTTTAACTAAAAGAAGTAATCACTAGTTAAGAGTGTAGAATACCATTAACCTGCTTAAAATTATTCTGAAGCAAAAATAAGATCTCTCACTTAGTTAAGCTTACATCATTTCAGGTTTGCTTATCTTTATTTAGTCTCAAAGAAAGTTAAAGGTGAAGAAGTGATTGATGAAAAATTACATATTTGGAATTAATTTGACCTGTAACTTCATGCAATATCAATCACACAAAAAAATCTAATGCTCAATACAGAGAGACCATATAAATTAGAAAGTCTTTATTAATAAATTTACTTGCCGAATTAGTAAACAAATCGAAAAATAAATTTCAACTGTGGTAGGGCCACGCAACACCCACGAATGTGCCGCTCCTTTCGGGTGAGCACCAAAACCTCACGGAAGACCGGCGTAAAGTAGAAATGTTACATTTTTGCGTTTCGTCTTGTGAATGAGGGAGCCGGGGCCCACTTTATTAAAAGGAGGCAACACATTGGCAACACTACGGGTGTTGCAAATGTCCATGGGCGGCGGTTACTTTCAGCCAGCTCGTTTGCCATATTCTCACATAAAAACAAAAAATAATGAAATCACACGATTCGTGAGTGCAATTTCCAATAAGGATTGTACACATTCCGGAGTCTCCACCTCCATGGGATCTGTTTGGAGACGTTTATGGCGGCAGGACTACGTGTTAATTACGTGGGTCGAGACCAAACACGCGGCCGTGGAAGCTAGCGTTGGAGACTACACAGAAGTCGACAAACCTTTCTTGGACACATCGCAACAGGGTCACCAGGCTACCATGATTTGAATGGACAGTCCTCAACAACGAAGGTGAATGAGATCAACCTTGTTCCATTATGTTCTGTTAAAATATGTTTAGAACTTAGTTGAGGTAGAAAAATTCAGAAAAGTTAAAGAACCTTTCAGCATTTCTTAAATAAAAGCATCCATGCACTTAAGAATGAGGTAAGTAATCTAGTAGTAAATAGTCTGAAGTCTTTTAAAAAGGTAAGGTTTTCGATTAAGGAATCCGACATAAAGATGAAAAACTCGCTAACTAATAACGTGATCATTGATATTACTGGGCACAAAGCATTCATGGTGTGTAAAAACTGGCCACATTGCATTATGTCATGTCAACGCGGTTCTTCGTGGTTCTGCGTCAAGCATAGATAATAAGACCTCACACAGAGGCTACTAAGTAGTTCAAATCTATTTCACAAGTTTGTAGTGCCCGGAAATAAATTTTTGGATCAATTCCGTAATTTGCAATAGTACAAAGTCAAAGCTTGGGAAGTACTAATAATATTTTGAGTTTAGGTGTACTCTTTCTAATCGTGTGTTTTTATTATGAACTGACGATTAGCAATGGTACACATAAAAAAAACCGTTTCATTTTGGCATTATTACAATATTTTGTAAAGTAAACAAAGATATATATAGCGTGTAACTTTATTAATTTTTAATGAGATTAATCTTGAGGTACGTATAAAAACAATTTGCTCGGTTACATTGCGAGAAACAAGTGCTTACTTATTACATTACACTGTTTTCATCAGGTTTTTGTTATCGGCGAAATTCTTCGTGGCTTCTGGCGCTTTGTCCGGGATTTCGGGCTAGGAGTTAGGCGACCCGATGCCGGGTTGGATTCCCACAGCGGCGAGCACGCCTCGCTCTCGACGACGCCTCGGCCCACTCCACTCTTTTTATTTCACCTCCACGATACCTGGCCGGCCCCCCGGCACGCTTCGGCGTCAACGAAACGCACCCCCATCCAACGCCGCTCCAGTGTTTGCGGAGCACACGGCGGAGGGTACCCGAGCAGCGTTGGGTCGCAACGGCCGAGTTTCTCGGAACATCTCATAATAGAGAGTGCAGCGAATCGGTCACGTAACAGCAATTTGTATGAATCAATCAATGCGCGTTGACGGTGATTGCGTTTTAGGACCCTCGGCGCTGGTTTGGGCGGCCCTGTTTGATTTTTAAAGTATCCCTAGAAGAACGTAGTCGAACGTGGTTGTTCTACCTGTTAGTTCATGCGATACTTCTATAATATGTATAATATATTGAATGGTTTGTTTGGATGTGCGCTTGTGTGGAGTGCCCCAACGGCTGAATAAATAAATTTAGCATAAAGATATAACAATATTTATAAACATATATTCATATTATATTTTAGCATATGTAGAAACTGATCTACCGGAAACTCTCTCGAAAACGTTGCGAGCTCTTAGCATATTGAAAAACATAATTGAAGGAAAAATAGAAGGAAAACGGGGAAGAGGAAGAAGACGAATAACATTGAGTGACAATTTGAAAAAATGGACAAACATCATCCTTGATGCCGTTAGTCTTTGCAGACTGGCGCAGAATTGAGAAGAGTTCCGTGTGGAGGTCACCGACATCTGATAGGATAGGGCGCACCCTAAAGTAGAAGAAGTATAAAGATATTTATTTAAAATGACAAGAATTTCATTTCGGCAAGCAACATGCCTGCGTGGAGGTTACCTGATAAAGGAATAGCAAACCTTTAGGAAAACTTTTAGAGCATCTTATGCCGCGACCCTGCAAGGTACTGGCACATAAAATTAGTTCGGCCCCGCGGGTAGTCGTCCACTAAACGTGTGGTAAAAAGCGTCTGCCTGACGGTACGGAGCCGGGGGTCGAGCGTGTGGGAAAGCCGGTGCCGTGAAATCGCTGCGCCACTTCAGGCGAGAGGTAAAAAACTAGAGGTCCGATTGATACATTTAGCGCGCCACGCGACGCACACGACACGGCGGCGAGGTAACCTTTACAGTGTACGATTGCATGATTTTGTTTTGAAATAGTGTCAATGGCGGTTCACCTGACGAACACGACACGGCGGCGGCGCGGTAACCGATACGGTGTACGATTGCCTGATTTTGTTTACGTGAAAAAGTGGCTGAATGCTGGGTTCACCTGATGTTAAGTGATAACAGTTACCCATTGATATTTGCAACACTAGTAGGGTTGTAGATGCGATGCTTTTAAAGTGGGCTCCGGCCACCTCACTCACCAGACGAAACGCAGAAGTATAATATTTCCATTTCACGACAGTCTTCTGTGAGGACGGACTGTTGCGTGGTCCTACAAAAGTATTACAAGACCATATATTATAAAAAGGGTTTTTATAATATATATTAATACATTAATCATTACTAGTGGACGTCATAATTGATTTAAATTATAAGTTCGAACAATATTAATCTATTCTCAAATACAATACACAATAAACAAAAGAGTACGTATACGTGTGTGTATCAAATAGATGGTAGTGTGTGTAATGTTTTCTATATTGATTTAATGTATTTATTTATGCATAATTAAAAAAAATATTAGCATTCTGCATTCCTTCTCTATATAAACTATAAGTTTTGCTTCACGTATTAATATAAGCCGTGATAGCTCAGTGTCCGGGTCCTCGCCTTTAATTCAAAATACTCAGCAGCCTGAGTTCGATCCCCGTGCCAGCACCAATGATGTTTTTAGCTTTAAGTGCTGACTTATCACATGCTCCGCGGTGAAGGAAAACATCGCGAGGAAACCTGCATATTTTCGAAATAATGACAAAAAAAAATATTTCGAAGATATGTGGAGTCCGCCAATCCGCAGTGGGGCCGCGTGGTGGACTATGCCCTGATACCCTCTGTATAGAGGAGGCCTTTGCCCAGCAGTGGGACATGTAGAGTACAGGCTGTTACTTTACTTAACTACTAATATATAGATAGCCTCCTGGAATGAATTGATCGCTTCTAAGCTATTTGTAAAAGAAATATGTAGGTAATATTTTAGTATTTTGACATAAAAGATACCTACGTAGTTTCTTTCGCCTGTTTCTTAACCTTATTACGAAACGGTGGTAGAAAGAAAGTGACTTTCAATAGATGAAATGTATGTGATATGATTCGATACTGATGGTAATCGACAGTCTTCAGCGTTGCCTTTTGAATTCCAGTTAAACGGGATGAACAGTTATATAAGGTACTAACTGGCTAAACTTTAAATGTTCGTATGACATACAAATCATTATTCTGGGTTTTGGTAAAATTTGTTTTTTTGTTTTGTTAATTTTATTTTTGTAATAGCTTAAGAATTATTCGTTCCAAGTGTATAAATTAAAAACCACAGTTAATGCTCCAACAATTTTTCTGTTTTCGAAATTTTTACATGTAAATTGAGTGGATGACAAACGGTGATAGGCTCGTCGCTTGTTGCGATTTAGAATACAACACCGGCCCATTTGTGTAACAGCGAACAATATTGCCTGGCCCTACCACAGTGGCAGCCTCGAACGGAACTACATGTATGAGTTAATTTTTAAACGCATGTTTAACCAAATAATTCGCGGCACTGGTCGCGTTGGAGATCGTGGCCGATAAGGGGAAACAGTTTAAACGCTTGAGGCACTCTTTCATATCGCCGCCATCATTGTATCGTGTGAGAAAGACCGTTTGACCACCCGCCGAAAACGTTTAATATCATTCCGTATGTTAATTACGTCCATCGACATTTAGCTTAACGCGCCTGCCTTTACGAGTTGCAGTTCCTCTTCGTAATTGCTTAAAATGAAATTTTTTGTTAATTAAATAATAATTGGCGAATCATCATTCGTCATAAAACAAATATCAATAAGCTTGACGGTTACGACACTTGCAGTACTTTTTTTTTTTAAGAAATTCCTTATTTGGTAATTTAGATATGTTCCTTGATTCGATATAATATGCGTAGTAGTAGTATTTTTAATTTGTATTATTTTCAACTCTAATCTGACCTTCGTATCTCAGTTTCTTCGATACAGGCTTGTGGTGAGGAAACAAATTTACATAATATTTATACTGAATGGTTCAATCCGTTGTTAGCAAAATACGTTGGATTTGTGACAAATAAAATAAGACGAATCCAAAGTATTCAAAAATTTTCCTTTGTCATTTCATTTTAAATTTCATTCGATATGAAGGTTTACGATAAAAAATGGTCTTGCAATAATTGTGTCAGTGAAAAAGGTCCGTGAGGTTTCTCGCGCACCACGCTGTGAAGCATCGGTTTATGAGTTAATTATTAATCTGTTAATATTGTAAATTAGTACCAAATTAATAGCATAATTGTTTAGGAAGGAAAAAAAAGTTGAATTAATTGTCCTTTCGGCGACTTCTTCTCGATGGCGTTTTTTCCCAACTTTACGCGTCCAAACAACACGTCGGCGCTGCGTAATTAAAAGTGGACTCTGTCTCGCGTTTTTGTGAGGTTTTTTTTTTCACGCCGCCCGCCCCGGCATATAATACAATCGCAGCTAACGACGCTCGCTAATTGATTGGTTCGCCGTTGATTTATTTCTGTTAACTTTAATTGGGAAATAGATTAGATAGTGTGTATCGCTGCTATCTTAGATTGCTTTGAGTCCAAAACGACTTACTACAATGTGATTGCTGATCCATCTTTTCCTTCTCAGAACTATCTTTTCTTGATACTGCTTAAGGCTCACCGTAGTCGCAATAATTTAACTTTAATCACAACTGGCACTGTTGGAGTGTTTCTTCGTTGCGGGTCTTTCTGAATTAGCTGTTTATCAGGTCAGGTATATGTAAAAGAGCTGGAGTATGTATAAACGGATTAAATGTGTTAGACATACACGTATATATCTATCTGGGTTATCTTATTATGGTCAAATCCAGCAGTGTTGTCTACCATATCTTGATAAGACCCTCTTGATTGATCATCACGGCCTCACAAAAGGTCAACCATCGACAAGGTTTTTTTTCTATGTGTGAAGGTAGCAAGCGAGCTGGCGTTTCACCTGATGTTAAGTGATAAACGCCGCCCATGGAAATTTGCAACACCCGTAGGGTTGCAGAAGCGTTGTCACCTTTAAATGAAGTGGACCACGGCTACCTCACTCACCAGACGAAACGCAGAAGAATAACACTTCCACTACACGCCGGTCTACCCGGACGGACCTGCCCCTTTCGTGCAACAGCCGAAGTGGCCCTACCACCGAAAAATAGAAATGTTTATTATTATTTATTTAGATTGTGAACGCACCCGTAAACTGCAGGCTGACGAATCTGTATATGATAAGATTTAATCGCTTCCTATCAGGTCGCTTACTTGCTCGTTCGTCAAATAACCTCTCAAATATAATAGAGGCTTATACTTGGCCGGTTTAAAATTAGCAAAAAGACACGAGGTGACTCCTAAGGGTCAGCCCGCGAGGCAGAAGTGGGCGTGGTACCTCCGAGGGTCCATTAAAATTTCAACATACCTTCCCCGGCTTAATTCGACCGCCAAACGTTGCCCGTGTTTTATGCGGCGATTTATTTGTTGGGGCTTTGTTGCTTCTTTTGGAGGAATGTTCTCGTTTGTTAATACGACCTTGGCTGCGTTGTGATTGCGGTGGTTGGTGCTTTGTTTAAAAGCAGACGACAATTTTTGCGTGATGTGTTTTATACGTTTGCCGTTAACACAAATAACTGTGGCACGGTACAGCTTTTGACACATGAATGATAAGCTATTTCATATGCCCAAGACGTTGAATAGTAAATTGGAGGGAAGGGTTTAAAAAGTGTGAGAGAGTTGTAGAATGTTACTAAAAACTGAAAGTTTCTGTTTAAGCGAGAGATCTTGAAATCTATTACTAACAGAATAAATTGCCTTAACGTACTGAGTAATATTTTTAGGAACCCGTTTTGTTTGTAGTAAATCGCAAAGGTCGAAAATGCATGTATTGATTGTAATAATGGTCTAATTCTGACCAATAAATTGAACTTTGTGTTTTTCGCGTACAGAAATGTGAAAACCCGTATAATTATAGTAAGTTGTTGGCAGAAATCTGCCTTGATTTCTATAAATAATGACCGGACTTGTTTTCACACTCAGGACTTCTGAGGAGTTAGGAAAGTAGCTCTTGACGATAAGATGATGCAAAGGATTCCAGTAGTAACACATGCGCTCCCTTTAAGTTCAATATGGTCGAGCAACTAGTGTTTTAATTTCGGCACCAATTCAAATTATAATTGCAATTTAAAGTACTGAATTATCACGTGATCAGCGATGTAGGAAAATATCGTGAGGAAACTTGAATATTTTAGAAATAATGATAATAAAAAACATGTCTCGATGTTATGTGAAGACCGAAAATCCGCGAAGGGGGGGCGTGGTGGACTATGGAGGCTTTTGCCCAGCCGTTGGACAAATATGCCTATATTTATTATTATATTTAATATTATTTTATGTTAATCCGTTTTACTTAAGCATTGTCGCGTTAGATTAGATCCGGGACTCTTCTTCAAGGTCCCCAAGTCATATCGTATCTTGGTGCCTGCGTAAGCCATTTCACAAGAACACACGAGTCTTGGAAACAATCGGTGTTCAAACAGCGAGGAATGTCGTCACCAAGCCGTGGGAGTTCTCTAGAAGATTCCGTTAATACTATCTTATCGGTGATAAGTTTGTTTGCGATGTCACCGCTGGTTTTTCCCTTTGTTTCGACCATTCCACGGGGCTTGTGTTTCAATCATAGGTGCGCCTTTTTTCCAAAATTGTCAACGCATAGATATAAGGTACAAATGTGAGTTTCAGTTTTATATATGTATATGATGACTCCGTGGAGTAGTTGCCAAGGTATTGGCTTCGGCGTCGGGGATCGTGGGTTCGATTCCCAGACGGGACAACTAATTTGTGTGAGCCACAGACGGTTGTTTCGCATCTGGGTGTTTGTCCGGGTGAAATATATGTTTGTAAACCGTCCTTACAACACAGGATAATATTTAAATGAAACTAAAATAAATTAACAGGTCAGTGATTGACCGCAACTCTAACTTATTATATGTTGTATGTGTACCTCTATAATCTATACAAGGTATAACGCTTCTTAAAAGCACAAAATGCACACACTTGTGAGCCTGCCAATCTTAGGGCGTTGAGAACATCTGACGCCGTCGACACAATCCATAAAATCTCCATTGATCGTTACTAGCGTTCGTGGCCAGTTCGGAACAGGTCGTGTTTGAGCGGCGATTACAAATATTGACAACGGGCGGTTCCGCAGCCGCGTTCCTTGAATGCGCAGCCATTGACGGCGTCGCCAACAATGGCGGCGAGTTGTCGACTTTGTGCCCGCCGCCCGCCTTAATCCCAGCGACTGCACATTCCTCACACGGGGGCCTGGTGTGAGAAAAAACCTCACCCTAAGACCCAATGCAGCCCCATTGAGTAATGGGTTCTGCTGTCGTTCGACATGTTTGAAATATCACCAGTGTGTATTTCCCACTCCCACCGCTTTCGAGCTATCGATAGCGCTTTTTGTGTGAAGCGTTTCATCAACTTTTTTCTCTGATTAATCCGACCGTTACTATTCAGAAATACGTTTGTTATTTACAAAATACTTCGTGCAACATAGGACGTTTGAGCTAAGCTGAAAAAGTTAGTGAGATCACCCTAATGACTTTTAGCCGAGAAAACTAAAGAAGGCCGAGAAGGCTAAATGAAAAATATTAATAAAAGAGTTGGTAGTAAATAATAGGTAGTAAATAATTATCATCCTTAGTAGTTTACGTTATATAGTCGATGTTATTATAAAAACCATTTAAACTTTTGAACGGTAACGTACAGTGTATATCAGTGTGATTTAATTTAATTGTTGACTTGAATAGAGCTTTAATCTAGTTAAAACAATCTTATAAATGTGCAAGAGACTTAATCATGATGCATTAGAGACAAAGACGACTGCATTCAGTACAGTAATAACATTGCTTCAATTTCAATTATATTTCGATTATATCGATATAACGACGATTCTGATGCTTCGGTTACAGAACCCAAAAAACGGCTGCGACACAATAATGCTCACCGATGAATAATAAGATCAAGTTGAGGAAAAAAAAGCATTCCGTGTGCTCCGAGCACAATCGACTAAGCATGTAGACAAGCATTATGTCTTCACAATGCCATAGTTTCGTCTCGTTCTGCTAACGCGCCCTTACCATGCGTTTGTGGCCCATTCACTGATGTTTTTAATTTATAATTTGTTTCCAATTCAATTTAAATGGTTCTCATTCTGTTGCACTGTGTTGTTGATCAGTTAATTGTATTAATATTAGTATAGGACTCCTATATATTACAGTTTTAAGTCTGCGACAATTTGTGTAACATAAAGGAAAAATATGGAATATATTATAGTGCTACAAATTTAATTTTAGTTTTGAAAGTTAAAAACATGCTAAAATGTACACGGCAAGGGATGTTTGATAACTCCATGGAATCGATAACCACCTTACCACTGTTGCTACTACTCACTGTCCAAACGATTTTGATTGTATAGAGTATTTCAAACAAAGGATTAAAATGATTATTTTAGCGAATTTCGAGGTAGCGCGCTTTGTAAGAGTCTTAAATTGATTTATTCGATATTAGCTATTTCCGTGGTTCATTCCATGGGATTTCAATTTGATAATTATCTAATTTTATCCCAAAATTTATTCCACGCCCAATTTTTTTGTATAAGTAATACAAAAAGTTAAGTCAATCTCTTGTTTCATGACATAAAAACAAACCAACAATCAAACTTCGATGTTTAAATCTTAGTAGCAATTCTCCGAAAAATTTCAAAACATAAACAAACCGTTACAGTGATTATTTGCTTCAATTATCTTTCCCTCGACTCTCGTATCTGTTTAGTTGATTTAAGTCGCTCTAATTTTTAAAATGTGAATACGTGATCAGTAATGAGTGTACGCGGGAGATGTCTCCATGGCAACGCCTCAGCGAGCCCCCATGCCGCGGCCTTCACCTTGGCATAACGACTACGTCTGGTTCGACCCCACCAAAAGCCTTAGACACGTTCGACCCGTTTGGAAGCGCCAAATCCACTGAACTTTTGTATTTGAAACGCATTTACTGTGCTCGTTTCGCCGGAGTAATGTAGAATATGCAAATAAGTGAAGTCGCTTGCGTGAAAATGTCAATGTGAACTTTATGGAGCCAGGGGGTAATACAGGGTAAGTTTCTGGGGCATCCACTTTATAAGGTGACCCTTTGAAGGGCGTCTTTTATACTCTCATTTGGAGTTGTTTACAAGGCTCTTTGTGCGGTGAGTGGGGTAATTGAATCACTATTGAAATGTAGTCGAGGGGAAATCGCTTCGAAAGTTAGATGTTTTTTTGCGTCCATTATAATAAAATCTATTTAGCATAGCTTTTTTATGCATTTGAGTCGTTAAATTATAACTGTCGGCCGACGAATGGCGGTTTGGTGAAGTATATTTCGTGATGTGATACAGTTACGTACTTAAGTTTATAATTTTCTATGTTTATAACCTTGTACGTGGTCCAAATCGATAAATTGTTTATAAGAATCTTCTAGACCAGGAATAATTATTTGTACATCATAAATTTTGATTGATCAATGATTATCGCACAAATATAGATAAAATCTATAATTGTGCGATAATCATTGATTATGTACCTTAGATGCTTTTATAAGTTTAAATAAAGTGTAATTCTTATATACCCTAATACATTTTATTGCATTAACAAGCTTCAGAACATATCGTTATAGTAATAAAAGAAATGAAATAATTATTTGTACTAACAAATAATATATAAAACAAGAAAATGAAAGCGACGGTTACGCCTTAAGACGTTGAAAATAATTTATGTAGACACCTAATTTATTTAGATCGTTGCCTAAAAAACGTCACATATGACAGCGAAACAAGCTCATGTCGAAGACGAGACGTATTTAAAAAAAATAAACAGTAAGAGCGATATATGATAAAGTGTAAGGGTGGTTTCGTCAATGAATATTCTATCGATCGATTAGAATAATACCGTAACAACCTGCGAACGAGACACGGGCGTGACACGCCGATGAAAAAAAAACTAATATATATGCAAACATAACTTCGAAATTCAAATGAAGAAAAAATAAACGCCTGTTGTGACGATGTTTTATCTAAATAGGTTGTATTATGTCGACGCGGTCCTATATTCGAGTTTTTTGTTAGTCTTTTTAAAACGTTGCCCGACTATGAAATGCATCTTTGAAATCATTTTTTTTAGGTTATGATTTTCAACTAGTAGAGGGTAAATTGAATGTTTTATTTAATAAGTAAATGTCACATGTTTAATTATGTTAGCGATATAAATCACCAGAAAGCGATCTCTTACCGATCAAGTTAGGTACCAAAAGCGATCTAATACCTCAACGCTCATTTTGAAAGCTGATCCGCCGGTTACATCAACTCCAAAAGCGTGTTTTGCATGTGCATTGTGAACGGATATTGGAGAAAAAGTATTCATGACAACGTTTGGGTGGTCGCGATCCAATTTATTAAGGCTCTTCGTTCCGAATGGATAAGTTTTAAAACTTATTCTTCTCCTAATCATAAGCAGATAATTGCTGACAAATACTTAATAACTTCGTGATAAAGCTTAGCTTGGCTAGAATTTACATCTTGCCTCGAAGTAAGAAAAAAGAATTTGAAGGTTATGGTACATAATAATTTATATTGATGAAATTTGTTGTTGATGGTACTAATAGCAACAGTATAAGTAATTTTATCATATTAATATTATTCAATGACTTTAGTATTGATTTTGGTTTTATTCCGATTGTACAAAAATATGGTTTATAAATTTACACTTTTAAGATTATAATCTGCCAGAGAAAACTTAGTAAGCATAACGTGACTTTATTCTGAATAATTAAATTGTTTCTGATATGTACAAAATAATTCACTGACCGAGTTAGACCACACACGCGACATTACAGAGACCATGTTGAGGTCCTTAACTTCGAAATATTGTTTCGAAAGACGATGCATTAGGCACAAATGTTTTTTTTTTGCGTTTTTTACGACTCCAAAATCAGAATTCTGTCGCTTTTACAACTTTTTTGAATACTGAAAACCTGATAAGGGAACGAAACGATGCTTACCTTGTCAGTGTGATGACATTTGTAATGTGAATTAAGCTGTCAAGTGTCAAATTTATACCGATGAATTGGTGCATCAAATTTTTAGTAAAAAAAGTAGTAATTGAATTAAATACGAAAAGCTAAAATGAATAAAGAAGTTAAGAACAATTTGGAGCATTTTTCAACGTCATATCAACATAAATTCACGGAGTTACAAGCAAATAAATACTGGAATGGTGGCAAATTTAGTGAAAGTACTTCTCGTTGGATAAAATGCTTAGATAGCGTTGATGACTTTATAAATAAACATAGCGTTTTTATAGGCAACAACACAAATAATAGTACAAAAGAGATTCAAAGCATTAGAAGTAAAGGAAATAATTCACAATCAGTTAAATCAATGAAGCGGAATAAATATGACTCGTATTTACCAGAAACATGTCTAATTTCAGGTAAGTTCAAAAACGATTGGAATGAATTAAATTTGTATGTTAAATCTAGTCCTTAAATAAAGACAGGGTTTTTATTAAAAAAATATTTATTTTATTTGCAGGTGTCAAAAAGTTATCCAAACCTACTCATTGTAGTCCGGTTCAACATTTTAATAACGAAGTACTAGTGTCTAGGATAATCGAAAATAATATGAAGCTGAACAAACTAGTGTATACATTGGTGCCCGAAATGCTAAAAGCAAAACAAAACAGAGATTGGAAAAGCGTTATTAAGCTTTTGAGAAAGATATACGATAAGAAAATTGAACAAAAAGTGGCCGGTCAAATTGAACGTCAGTTTTTAACTTCTAAACTAAGCAATAATAGTTATAGCTCTCAACTGACGTGGAAACTTTCTAATTCCCTAAATAATATGCACGAAGAAAGCCAAAAAGAGAACTCAGAATTATCGCATAGAGGCTCCAGCGAGCGACTAAATAAACACTCAAGTAGTGTTAAGACTGGTTATTCCCTTCAATCTAAACTGATCTGCTATCCTACTTCGTCTTGTGGTCGTATTACTATGCTGCAACGAGAAAGAGCAAACAGTAAATTAGGTCCCTTGACTTCTAAGATAGCAACAAAAAGAATTAAGGAAAATGTAACATCTCCAATTAGGGACCCATGTAATAAAAAAGAGAAAAGAAAATCTTCAAGTTCCCAGGCAGACTCCTCATATGAAGGCAAGATAATAAACAGAGGAAAACAAGACATAGGTACAACTGAATATCATAAACCTTTAAATGAAATAGATTTAAAAAAAAAGCATGATTCGAGAATTAACATAATAGATCAGACAATTTGTTTTGCAAATATTGCAACTAAAATTGAATACCTGATTAAATCAATAAATTTACTTATTGAAGAAATAAAAGAACAGAAAACAATAAATAAAGAGTTGATTTCGCTTAATTCAGGAATAAAGTCAATAAATAAAACAATAATGAACTTAAATGAAATACAACAGCTTAAGACAGATGCCATAGAAAACGCGGGTTCGTTAAGAAACCAAAAGTGTGAAGTCACATCACAAGCGGGTTCTAGGGTAGTCAAATTGCGAAAAAGTTTAACGGATAAAAGTATTTATGCTCAATATGACAAAGAAATCAAAACTAAAAGCAGAAGAAACATTCAAGATAGTTGTTACTTTGGATCAAAATTCCAAATATCTTTAGCGCAAAAAGCTACAGAAACAACTGACTCCTTCCTGAATCCAGATTTAAAAGTAAGCAAAGTTATTATGACAGAAGCGAAGTCATCCAAACCGGATCAATCCTTGGTTGAGAAACAAACTAAGGAGGCAAACACAGAGCCACTAAGCGTTCTAGCTCTGTTAAGAGTATCCACAGAAACTGTAAAACAGCTTTTGTCGTGCATGCCTACCATTGATTATTATTCATATTTGCCACTCCTACAAGTATCCTATTTCAATGAAAGCGAAGAACCGCGTTATACATGCAATATTTGCGGAGCGGCTTTCTATAAAGCATCAATGTTAAATGATCATATAAAAGACCATGATTTGGGTTCCGCAAGGTAAAGCTCTAGAATGTGACTTAAAAACCTTTCTATAAGTTAACCGTAACGTCTTTCGTTAATGCTGACAGTTTTTTAGATAGCCACTGACATATCTAACACATTATAAAGCTGTCTCTTTGGCACATAGGTTTGGTTACGTAACTAGTAAGTTAAAATGATGATGCAATGGAATTTAAATGGTCATTGTTTTATAAAAAGTAAAACATTTGTAGGATGGCCTAGATAGTGTCGTACAAATGGGCGTGAAGTCGATGAATGCAGGTGGCTCAGGATCGAGCTTCGTAGCAGTCTTTCGCAGTGGATTCTAAAAGGCTGAAATGATGATGATGATGAGAATCTTTAAGAAAAGCCTCTAAATAATGCATGTAGGCTAATTGAAATACTTGATCATTTTATTCGGCTATAGTTTAACTTCTTTCTTTTTTTCACATTTTTAGGGATTGCTGTGTTTGTCAGCACGTTCTGGAAACTCATAAACTTTGTAACCATGAACTGTTCAAGTGCCAGTTCTGCGGACAAAGGTTCACAAGAGCGTACTGTTGTGAGCTGCATCAACAATGCTGCGCCAAGCGGCTGGGCGTAAGGCATGAAGTTTCTTCTAATCTTTTACTACTGCAATAATTCAAGACCAGGTCGGAAACCATATACTAAGGCTGACCTTATAACATACCAAGGATGTTGTCGGAGTTCTTTGAGAAAATGCTGAATTGTTTCCAGTTTGTTAATTTATGTAATTATATAACTTTGTTCGTAAATCTAATAAAACATCGTAAACGGCAAATAAAGCAAATTCCTCCCGAGGCCTCCGAAATTTTGAAAGTGATACAAAAGGTATTCTTTAGCGGTGTGTCAAATTCGGACGGACACAATGTTTGCTTTCACGGGACACGTGAAGGGATAATTGGGGGCGGGGGCAGACAACATTGTCAATGGGGACCCTTTGTGCCG